CCTCTCTCAAGAATCTTTAAGTAACGGTAAGACACCTGCTCCTTAAAACAGCAAGTGTCATGGCCCTGAAGATGCTCCATGCTTGTTCCATTTCTCTGGTTCATCAGTTGGGCCCCTGAGTGTTCGCTGGTGTTTTGGACTTCACAGAGAGTGAGGAAAGTAAGCTCTAAGTGCCAGACACTGAATGACCTGGCTGGGAAGAGGGTCCCCGTGGTACAGTTAAAGGCAGATGCAAAGCCTTGTATCAGAAACCTCAGATTGACTGGTACATGGAAGAGATGGGGAATAGGGTCCACTGGGAGCTGGGACTAATTTACACCAAAATACGCTGAGAAGAGTTTGTAGGTTAAATGCACTGGAAAGGAATTTTGGAGAATGCACAGAAATTTGGAGAAACGCACACTAAGTAGACTTTAGTGGACATAGGTGGGTGCATGGGTGATTTCATTGTAAAAGAATAAGGGCATGCTTCAACTCAAGAGGTACTTTTCAGATTAATGTTTATCAGTAAGGAAAGTATGACAGATGGGGTCTGCATACTCCTCAAGCTCCCTTGCCTCCTCCTTAGGAAAATCAAAATGATCTCTAGGTCCTCAGCAGATGGCTACCGACCTGTAGGTCACACACATCTATGCTTGGACCTGTCCTGCCCGGTGACCTCGCTCCTCGGCTGTCATGGAGACCACAGCGCCCCTCGGTGGCTCTCACCTCCACCACTGAAGTCTCTGCCTGCGGCTGCCCCACTGGTGCCCACAGCTGTGCCCTCGCTCACGGTGGTCACACCCAGTCCTGCCTGTCCTTACAGCAGCGTAGCGCATGTAGCACATGGCACCGCCCATTCTCTGTCCTCGGGGGCATACACAGCTCCTGCACCAGGTCACACTTTAATGAAGTGAAATGACATCTAAAACTGGGAACGTCCTCCTGGATAGTGGAAAACACATATGCACGAGAGATTTCAATGTGGGTTTTGGCATTTGAGTGAAAAAATTTACAAATGCTTTGCAAATGTTCTTCTCCCGATACTCAATTTAATTGGTACCCACTATGATTCAAAACATTTCATTTTGATTAGGAAAAAAATCACAGAAGAAAGATGGGTGGCCAGAAGCCCCAAAGGAGCAATTAGAACATTCAGTGTAGCCTTGCGGTGGCTGCGTGTGCATCTGGCACATATGTCCAAGTGCTGTTGTATTTTGCGTTGTGCTACACGGACAGCAATGTTCAGGCTCTTGTGGGGCGACTTTTACATTGCATTATTTCTCTACACTGCTACTGTGTGCAAATACCAGAAGACATGGTGATGAATACTCTGATCTCTACATTCCATATTCCCTTCTCGGCACCAGAGCTTTGCTCAGCTGGGTTAGTCAACATCTGTCTGCCTTATCTTTCCAGCCATGCAGATCTGTACGGCGAGTCCTCTCCTCTTACCCCGTGATTGCCGACCTCCAGTTTAAATGACCATGTGCTCTAGCTGGAGACAGATGGGGCCACTGGGGCTGCTGTGAGTCATGGAGCCTGGCATCTGAGAGCCAGGGGGTTCCAGGACCAGCTGAGATTACAGGCGGCCTCAGAGCCAGTGACTGAGGACTGGGATTTGACCAGAGAGGCGGGGATCTGGTGAGTCATGGAAGGCAGGGCAGATGCCGGTCCTGTGGAAACTGGGTTGACCAAGAAGACTGAATTTATGGCCAGCACCGAGTGCATTGGTGATGTTTTCTTCTTGGCACTCACATCTCTCCTTCTCTGCCACCTTCAGGAAAGGACCCTGTCCACTCATGGGGGCCCAGGGTCTGTCCCCTGCAGAGACCTTGGCCCCTTTCACCCTGCAGCAGTCGACCCTTGGGACAGGGGTGACATTCCTTATGTGTCTCTGGCCATTGCGTGGCTTGTCTCTGCTCGTGGTGCCTAAGTGTGGCTGTGACTTTCTCCGTCCAGTTCTAATAGCTCAGCTCCCAGTTTGTTTACAGGGCAACAGCAAGGATGCCTCTGTCATGCAACTCAAAACTTGCACTGCAGAAAAAATGTTGTTTGTAATTTATGACCTCACCTGGAATCTTTATTGTAATATATGGTGCACATACGCCCTCCCACTGGTGCTTCTTGAGAACTGGAGTTTTAGTGTCATCATTTAATAAGGTGTGAGAGTACAGGAACGATTAGACTTGGGAATTGTCTATCAGACTATGAGCACGATGGACCTGCATGCTGCATACATCCCATCACGTTCGCAGGGAGACTCTGAAGTAGTATCTCACCTGGCACGCACTAAAACACACTGCTGAACAAGTGTGCAGTGTTTAGATGCTGGCTTCGAACTGGAATTGTTCCAGTTTCATATATTTGGGGGCAGGGGACTTGGAAAATAGTTTAGACTTATTTGAAAAAATCTGGTGTTTAATAACACTAGCAGTTAAAAGCAAAAAATCACGTGTTTTTTATCAGAAATAGTGTTAATAGTGAGCAGCTGTTGGGTGCATAAAAGAGAAAAAGATGATTTTTAACCATTCAAAATTGCTTTTGAAATACCACGAGTGATATTTGCAGGAAGAACAATAGCGCGGTGTAATAATTCTGAAAAATAATAAAATAATTGTGCTTTATTAGTTCATAAGTTTTTTGGTGATGAAAAACAACTCCTTCTTTCAAATGCATGGATTTAATTTTGTACTTAATGACCAATTCTGGAAAGTAGATGAATTGCTGACAATATATCTACCCTAACCTCAGCAGCTTCTCATTGCTACGACCATCAACTCTGATATTATATTTAAAATATGAGATTCGAGGAACTCTAAAATGATGGATGTGATGACAGAATATGGAGTTGAGTCTCTTAAGGAAGAGCATAGATCATGAAGCTTTAATAAATTTTAAATTACCAATTTTCCTATTGTATGAAAGAAGCAGATTTAATAGAATCAAATTTATTTTTCCACAGTACTAATTCCTACACGAGAAACCAATCATTGTTTACTATTGATGAAAGATATGAAGATGTACTTTGTGTGGCTAAACATAGTTCCTTCAATGTTTAGATCATGAGAATGTGGTTTCCAGATACAACAAGCTAACAGGGCTTCAGAAAGCAAAGGAATTACATGGATATGTGGCTCACATATCCGAAGCCCAATCCAGGTATTTTACAGACCTCTCCATGTGCCGTCTGGGTTTCCTCAGAGTAGACCGGGTGTTGCTCCTCCGTGTCACGTTAGGGGTGGACATCCCCTAGGCAGTCATTTCTCCTACACTGTGCTGCATAGCTTCATGTGGGGCCTTTCCTCACATCACCAGCGCTGTGTGGGCACAAAGGGAGTCGTGCGTGTCTCTTGTTGCACAAAACAGTGAGCTGCCGAATATGAATGGAGTCAATGAGTGCAAAATCAACCCTTTGATAATGAGCCCCCGGGGAGCGAGTGTGAGGGACACGCACATTCCCATGTGGTGCTTGGTGAGAGTCCTGACCAGGGGTGGGTCCAAGTTATTTGAAGATTTCTAGCGATAAAGCAGACTTGTTTTCAGTGGTAGTTTTCTAGTGCATACTACACTTCTCTGAGTTTCGTACTTTTTTTCCTATCATTTAAAGAGTAAACGATACTATAAAAACCAGTTGTTTTAAAATGTATGCTGAGTATGTATGTGCAGAAGAATAAATTTTCAGGAAAGCGATTAATTTGGGTATTTTTTATCCAGCCTTGCCTTAAGAGGTCGAAGTAAGGTTACCTGGATGAGGGAACCTTCAGCAGAGAGGCCCTGGACCACACTGATGCATCACTGTATTATCATTGTATGAAGATTTATGCTGATTTAAGAGGAGAGTCTGATCTGTGTGGAATAATAGACACAGTTATCTCCAGAAGTTTTATTGGAACATTGCAAAACACACAAGGAAACTTTAAAAGTAGGCTGTGTGTTCCTTACGCATGAAGACTAAGTTGTAGACATACTTTTATTCCTGCAGAGCATCCAACAGGATGACTTGCATGACAGTGACTGTCAGTGATTAATTGTGGAATAAAGAAAGAAAGCTGCAAGCCCTCATTTTAGTTCTTGGGAAATCTAAAGTATGCATAACAGTCATTTGATATGTAGCTAAATATTCTCTTTCTTGTTAATTTTAATGGTAACTTTTTCTTGAATAACAACTATATTCCCTAGGCTTTTTTGTGCTTTATTTCTAACCTTCAGACTGAGAACTAGGAATTTCACTACTTTCCAGGCATAGAGTTGACTCTCTGGTAAGTGGTAGAACCTGGATTTGAACCCGGTCTGTTCTGATGGGAACCTTGATCTTCCTCATTGAAATCATGACACTAAAATGGTTAGAGCTGGTTAGTGGACATTAAGAGTTGGGACCCGTTACCACTTAGACTTGAGTTCCGGAGTCTTGTTTAATAGAAGCATTACTCTGAGTTGGTTTTACTTAGAAAGGGAATCACGCACGCTTCCTCTATAGGAGGATACGAACGTTTATGACACTGTTCATTTTTACCACTCAAAATCCAAACCGCTGACTCTAGACTATAGTAACTTGTTTTCAGAAAAGATCTTAAAAATGTATCATTTTGCAAAAATGCTTATCAATTTTTATTTTTAAGTGACTTAAAACCTTTTATTTTCTTTGACTAACATAGCTGTTGTGAGTATGATATCTATTTTTATTTCAGTAGACTTTGGGAAATCATATATTTTTTTTCTAATTCCAGTTGGGTCAGACTTCACTGGGTTAGGCTGCTCAGTTAAATTCGTTGCAGTCTGCAGAGGTAACAATATTCTACATTTTTAAGCTGTGTGAACCAAACCTTTTTTATGGATAATTTCAGTTTGGCATTCTGCATGCATAACCAAAAGGATGTGTTGGGAAATATAATGTGGTGTCTTCCTGAATAGAGGGAGATCAAAAGATCTCAGCTTCCAAGAGGAGGCTATTTTGAGCTCCTCTGTCAAGTTCCTATTCACACACAGCAACTGGTAGCAACTAAAAATAATCAGTGTCACTACCAGCTAAGAATCGGTCATGTTTGGCTGTTGGACAATGAGCACAATACGATTTGGGATCCCTGCTGGTCGCCTGCCTCCTGCCTACTCACCAGCCTCCTTTGCTGCTTGTGGAAGCTATTGCAAAGCCATTAGCAGGCAGGACCGACAGCGACAGCGGAGCCGGAGCCGCACTGCAGCACACCTCCAGGAGCGCGGCGCAGGGCGGCCAAGTATGAGCACCGATCACAGCTGAGGAGCGTGTCAATCAAGGGTGCTAGGATTGCATGTGCAGGGCTGCTGCCTGAAACCCCGAGAGGCTGGGAGGGACTCCAGCTGCTGCACGAGAGTGAGTTTGAAGCTTTCTGCCTCTGTTCAGTAACGCATCCCGAGGTAAACTGTTACCTGAGCCAGGACTCTGAATAATGCATTTCCCAGGGAAGACCGGTGTAGCACAAGAGAATGCTGGAACTCCTAGCAAGATTCCTGCCTGAGAGGGAAGATGTCTCACTATCATTTTATCAAGTGCTGTAAGTAACCCTGATGATTCATGCATGTGCTCATTTGTCTCCTTGAATATTATTTTATGCAGATGCCAAATTAAGGTAGGTCTTCCGGGAAAGCACATCCAGACCTGTGACATAGACAGTTGACTTTGAAGGCTGTTTTATAGGCTGAATATGCTTCACTTTAAGAATCTGAAATAATTCCATTTTTATCCAAATGCTGTAGTACAGAAGTCTTTAAAACTTTATCTTTAAAAAACTGCACGAGCAACCAATAAAAAAAGGAACTCATAGAAAGGAATTGTATAATGACGTTTATGGGTATTAGCATATATTAACCAAGTGCATACAAATAAACACATTCATTTTTCTCTCTCATTTTACTGGTGACCCCTGCGCCTGGTGCTTACCATGTGAGTTGGGCCTTCGGGTTACCCTTGACTGTAAACTTCTGCCCTTGGATCCTTCTCTGCAGAGACTGGAGCAGAAGCTGTAGGCTGAGGCTCATGTGGTGAAAATACTTCCTTCCTGGCTTTTCTGATGGGTTTGCTGGGAATTCTAATGCCTGCATTTCAGCAGGCTTTTCTGAGCCAGGGTACTCCTGTCTCTACCTCCTCTGGACTGTAACAGCGAGGAGGAAGACATATTTACAGCAAAAAGGCATTACTAGATGAAGTGTTTCCCCTGCAGCACTTCTGTACACTTCTGTACATTTATGTCATGATCTTAAAGTGACAGATGAAATTTGCAGCAGAGGGCCTCCTGTGAAGATGAGGATTTTACTGACAAAGGACATTGCAACGTGAAACTAAGTAGCACATAAAGGCAACACGTGTTTTGAACGACTCCTGGGTTTTGTCATTAAGGAGAGCTAAAAATGATCCTGTTGCTTGAGAAGGAGAAGACATTTGCCTTTCTCGAGTCTGGGGTAGAGATGCAGAGAGGAATCCCAGCTCTAGACTACTGCAAAATGCCTCTCTCTCCAGCAACACCCAAAGAGGCATGCTTTTAACTCCAGAAGGAATGCACTGATCGGCTCCCAAGTTTGTAAATTAGCTCCTTAAAAATAAAACAAAAACTGGGCACATGCAGCATATTTTAAAATTACGGAATAATCCTTTGTTTCAACTTCTGAAAGCTCGGAAATCTTCTTTTGGCGACAGGGCAGCACTCCCGGCTGGATTTTGTGCTTCTTCTCAGGTTCGCCTGCTCGGGCAGAATCCCATCATTTTCCTCTCTGCCCCTGCGGAGAGGAAATCCCGGAAATCCCTGAAATCCCTGAAATCCCTGAAATCCTCCGCGGGGCTCCTCCAGGAGCCTGGGTTCCCCCTCGGGTGCGCGGACACCTGGCCCAGGCAGCCCGGAGCTTGGGCCTGTGCGGGAGGGACAGGGCGGAGACCTGGACGTCCGCAGCTCCGGGTCCACCTTTCACGCCGGGTGGCGGGTGGCGTGGAATTATCTGGCGTGGAGCTGCAGACGAGAAATGGTGGCACCTGGGGTCATTCTGAGAGACGGCATCTGAAGCTGATGAGTTTACGGAATTCATAGTTTCATGAATGAACACGTGTGCCAAGTGCGGGGGGAAGAAGGAATCCCGGGGAATTTAGCACAGTAACTGGGAGCCGCTCGCTGGGACACGCCTGCTTTGTCTGCTTCCCGCGTGGAGCAGGGACGGAAGCGTGCGAACCCCGCTGCGGACCTCGGGGAAGCACACGGCTCGCAGAGCGAGGCGATGTCCGGTGGCCAGCATGGCCGGTGGACCTGCCCCACGAAGGATGTCTCCGTGGGTCCTGAAGGGCGACTCACGTATAGGAGGAAGGGGAGGTTTTCGTGGCACGAGAAAGGTTTATGGATGAGGGTCACAGTTTGCAGTTTGGAAGCGGCTCCCCGTGCCTCAGTTTACCCCGATGTGTTCCCTGGTCCCTGCAGCAGCGAGCGGCGTTCTTTATGCTCCCTGCCCGTCTCCTCCTGCGCCCCTGCATCCTCTCTGACTGACTCATTGCGGCCTCGGTTTATCCACCAATGTTTCAGGACAAACCATGAGAGAGGATATGAAGAAATGGGACCCTAAACATGAGGGGAAATTCCTTAACCATGACTTAAAGCCTCACAGACTCTACCTCCCTGTTTCCCATTACCTATCTTTTAGTTTGCTCTTTAAATTATTTGTATTTAGAGTTTCACTTATAAGAGAATCCATGTGATATTTAGGCTTGTGTGTCTAATTTATTTCACTTAACATTAACAGTCTCAAGGAGACTCGATTTATCCTTCTTTATGGTTGAGTAGTACTCCATAGACTTTGTGGAGATGGGAAGAGGGTTTGGGGGTGGAAAAGATGGGAGGGAGGGCTAGGGAAGGAGATGTGAAAAGGATTAAGATGTAGGTACCTGGCACGGATTCCCCACGATGCATGTGTTTATTATATATCTCACACACAGACTGAAAAAGTAAAGTTAAATCCCAAGCACCAAAAGAAACTGTATTTCAGGATTGGAATTAGCACTGTGTGAAGACAGGAACGTTGTCCTGGGCTGGTGAGGTACAAGGTGCCTGTCCTCGGGGTTCATGGGGACCGACGGGACTCTGCACCTGTGATGTATCTTGGAGACACCGACAGAGTCAGTTCAGTTACCATGAGCCCCGGGGACATGTTTGAACAGTCCTATTTCTTCATAGATGTTTGCGTTGTTTTCAGTGGCGTTTTATCCTTTTTGTCATCAGTTTTATGCAGTCTGTCATATAAGGAAATATTAATTTTTCTCTGGACGACTCTGTGCTGAAAATAGTCTTCTCCCTTTAGTCTTTTTTCTTTGCTTTGGGCATTTATTGGCAGCTAAATTTCTGCTGTTTGTGTGGAAAACTATGTCTGTTTTCTTTGGTGTGTTTTGGTTTCCTGGTTGCTGTGTATGGTCTAGTTTCCCAAAGCCAGATATGTAGCCTTCTACCTCCTCATCTAAGCTTTCACTTCTGTACCTTGCATTTGCGTCTCTGTGGAATGGAATGGAGGAGATGTGAGGATGGGGCCCGTCACACCCATCACCTCCATGTTCCCGGCACACGCCCTGCGGAGTCCAAACCCTACACAGTCACGTCTGCTCTCTGTTGGTGACACTGGTCCTCCACCACCCAGGGCCTGCTGCTTGGTCAAGGTGGCTGTGTAGCGAGTTTTGTTATCTGATATGGCAAATCTTCTCTGATGAAAATTCTCATTATTTTCTTTAAAAAGGTCACATATTTATTTTTCAATATTAAATAATTTCAACTTTTCTTAAAAAAATAAATACAAGTCAGGATTTTTAAAATGTGTCTGAAATTTGAATTTAAAAAATATATCAGGGTAAGATCTGTGGGTGAGTACTACCTGTATCCCACTAAGTAAATTTGTTTCTGTACATGGTTCAGCTATGTATTTCAAACAGATACTTGGCTTTATGTCAGTACATGTATAATTAAGGACTATTACTATCATCAACACTGTTTTCATTAGTGCTATTGAAATAAATGTTTCTCTCAAACTAGTGATAAGCCCAGCATTAAATCTGCTGCTAAAGGGAGCCCTCTAACCCTAGATATCTATTTATAGCCACATCCACATCTATGCCCCTCTCTCTCCTGACATGTACACACAGCATCTGACACAAAAATGCCTCCACAGTTCAGCTGTTCAGCATACTAATAAGTGTCTGCAAGCCCAGGGCCACCACTCTGAGCACTTCTCGTAATTGTGGAGCCCAAAGGTAACTTGTATTAATCTCGTGATGTCTCAATAAATTTAGTATTAAAATATTTATTCAAGTTAGCTTTTCCTGATGTACACATTATTTTTGGCAGTCTTTGCATTTAATTATATAGAAATAAGGTATACATAAAATCTCCCTGCGTCACCAGTTGGGAAGCAGCAGATTTGAAGAATCTATAAACGGATGGCATTTCAATCACTTGTGTCTATCGTTTAGCCTTCATGTGTTGGGTTCTGTACAGAAGTTCAGGGATGGATGCCGCAGGCTGTGTCCTGTGGGTCTAACCACACACCGTGTGTGTTGATACCGGCTTCTCCAAGGCCTGTCTCTGTATCTGGGGCCTTCCACACTGCATCCTTACCTGACACCTGCCATTCTAGTGTGTGTGATTCCGTCTCCCTCTGGGGTGTTTGGTGAGTGAAAGAAGACTCTATGCTTTCAGCTCCTGGCTGACACTCAGTAGCATTTTAAGGACAGGTGACTTAACTGAGCTAGATGGATACCATTTCTTTCTGTTCATTCATTCTTATATTGAATTGTTAAATCAACAATACTCTGTCATAAAGAAGGATAAACTTGAGTCATTTGTAGGAAAATGGAGGCACCTTAAGACCATAATGGTAAATGAAATAAATCAGTCACACAGGTATAAATATCACATGGCTTCCCTTATATGAGAAACCCAAAGTATAAATAAATTAAAGAGCAAAATAAAAGATAAAGGAAACAGGAATATAGATCTTTTGCAAAAGGGAATGGGACTGTCTTGATTACTTCTTCATTGCTGGGACAAAATACTTGACACTCAAAGTTAAAGAGGGAAAGCTTTATTTCAGCTCACAGTTTGTAGAGGTTTTAGTCCATAGTCAGCTGGCTCCAAGGCAGGGAAGGGCCATCACAGAGGAGAAACAGTCCATGGCAGGGTAGGCAGGAGGCAACCAAGCAGCAGCATGGAGCTTCCCTTTCCATGTTATCCCATCCAGGCTACAAGGCTTTTGGATAGTGCCACCCACACCCAGGGTGGGCCTTCCCATTATCCACACCCAGAACTATACTAAACCAATCTGTGGGCTAATTTAGCTATCAACATCCATAACCCATATTCACACACCCTAGATCCAGCCACCTCTGAAAAGCTCCACCTATGAGCACATGAGGCTGTGGGAGGGATATCTAGACAAGCCATCATAGGGCCCAAGAGATGGAGGGAGAAAAGTAGGGGAGGAGGATGTAAAAAGAACTAAGATGTGTTATGTGTATGCACCAGCTCCTCACAGTAAA